TGCAAGTCGGTTTCATCGACGTCATATGTCTGCCTCTCTACAAAGTTCTCTCCGACACCTTCCCATGGATCATGCCACTCTACGAGGGCACCATGGAGAACAGACAACACTGGCAAGATCTAGCTGAAAAAGTCGAAATGGGTCTGACCTGGATAGATCGTGACACCATCGACGAACCAGTCGAAGAATTCATCTCCTATGAACCCAAAGACATCGAATTCACCGTCACAACCTTGAACTGCGTGGACAAAAAGGAAGTCCCTGAGAAGTCCGCGTTGAGCAGACTTATCTCTCTAAGGAAAGGTGGTCCTACTCTAGGCAAAGATGTAAGACACAAACTTAGCAGGCCGCTTTACACGAGAAACGCTCCAGAGGACGCTGCCAAATCCAAGGCCCTGATCCCTGACAGGAAGAGTCGAAATAAATTGTGTTTGCTCATTTGACGGCTTACGTCCACCACTCTTGAGAGCATACCTGAATGATGAAAAGGAAGATGAGAGATCTCATGGAGAAATTTGTGTGATTAGCATCTGATGCAAATATGTTATTGCCTACTGGTTAGCTAACTTATAAGGTTGTAACTAGTAAAGATCAAAGTGGATTGGAAAGAAAGATTACCTGTACTGTGAGATTCATCAGGAAGATTTCAAAGGATGTAAATTCATGGGAAGTACAATGACTGTACAGTGAAGAGGGGAAAGCTTCCGAGTTGCAGCTTGGAATGAATCGATAATGAAATGATACAAGGTGTGATTTATCTACTGTGATTGCTGTCCATCTGCCTAGAAAATCAAAAGTCAAGAAAGTGAAATCAAACGTTTGTTAATAATGAATAAACGAAGATACATTTAAGGGTCACCGAATCGAAGGCTGAAAGATTTTGCAGATTTTAATCCCAAGACTGTCGTCGAGTCTTTAGAAAACACGTTAGACGAATAGTCAATGGCTAGTTAGTTAGACTGGCGATAAGTTAGGCGACCTTTGTCGAATTTTACCGTGGAGGAGAAGAAGAAAGAGAAGAAAAAGGAAAGAGAAATTGAAAGAATAATGTCAGCGATGGTTGCACGGATTCAATTTTGACAATCTTTTTTGTATTACATCTCGATACGTTAATTAGGATAATCCGATGGATAAAACTGGTGAAAAATAATATAAAATGGATATCGAAATTTTTGAAAAAAAAAATACAGCCGAAAGATGGGCATTTTTATATATTAATGAAAAAAGGAAGAAGAAAAATAAAGAAAAATATGATGCAAATTTATAAAAAAAAAAAAGAAAAAAAAAAAAAAAAAGGAGGGAAATTTATAAAAAAAAAAAAGAAAAAAAAAAAAAAAAGAGTATAAAACTCTTGGACTCTCGATGATACATCGTATTTCTATCCCACTCGTTTCCAAGATGACGCGTGGAATCAATCGACGACATTAACGAATGATAACCAAGGTAAATCAATGCCTATTAAATTAACGATTTCGTTGCATCATTCAAGCCAATCCAAAAATTGCGTCTCTGACGCAGAAAATGATCACGCGATCTCGCATTCTTGGAATTAAAAGATGTTATTTTGTTTCTCTATCTTTTTTTTCTTTTTTTTTTTTTTTTTATTCCTCTTTTTCTCTTCTTCTTTCTTTACACGGATCTTTACAGAAATTAACTTTTATTCTTTTTTTTTTCTATTTTTCTGTTATTTGATTAATATCCATAGAAGGAAAAGATGAGAAAAAAAAATACATAAAAAAATCCAAAGAATCTTCTGTTTGATTACTAATTTTTAACTTATTCATGATGAAGTAATAATAGATAAAATTTTGTCATGAATAGCATTTTACAAAAACAAGGTATTTTCTTGGTGAAACAAGAAGAAGATGCAAGCGAGATACGTGATATAAATAAATAATATGTACAAGAATCAATTAATATTCAAGATAATTCGAGAGTGCTGTGTTTAAAAAAAAAAACGAACATGAGAATCCATTGTAACAAGAGTGAAACTGGTTTCTAGTCTTTTGATATAGCTACTATGTATGAAAAATATGCCTGTCAAAGACTATCGCACACGACTAAATAAATAAAATCTGAATGTGCTCAAAACGTTAAATAATTGAACTATTTTTTTCTTCTTTTCTTTTTCTCTTTTCCCTTTTTTTTCTTTTTTTTTCTATATTCCTATATCCTGAGAAAAACAGAAATTTTTTAAAATATTTTAAGGATTAAATTAAAAAATTAAATTACAAAACAAATATATTAAATTCTAATAAAATAGGAGTATTATTAAATTTATAACATTCATACTTAACATTCACACTTTCTGATGAATGAAAATTTCACTTTTTTTTTTTTTTCAATTTCAATTTTTCATTTTTAATCTTCGGTGACTATCATAGATCGTCAATAACACTCACAAAAAAATGTCCATTTTCATAAACGATTCACTAGTGATCCAATTTTCATTTTCCTTTGATGAATTTCATATCATAGATTACCGATAATCCATGAAAAAATTTGCATTTTTGTTCACTATTATGGTTCACTAATGATCCATGAAGAAAATTTCATCTTCGAAGACTGGAATTGTAATAGATCATCAATGATTCACAAAAGAATTTTCATCTTTGAATCAACGATTATTGTGGGCCAACAGTAGTTGAAAAATTTTATTTTCAATTATATTATTTCGATTCACCATGATGACCCACAACAATATAAAATTAGATTAAAATCACCTTTATTCAATTTCGAAGAGTAGTCCTTTAGCTCCGTGATTTTTTACGCAGCTTTTTATTATTAAAACATTTAGAAATTACACTCGAACGACGGTGTCCTTTACACAGTAACGAATCATCAAACGTTTTTTGGTCCTACAATTAAATTAAGTATAATAAACGGTTTCTTTTATCTCTTCATCGTTCTTCTTTCGATATTCCGTGTGTTGACGATTAATTCTCTATTTACAATATTATGCAATATTCGATTGCATAAGAAAAAAGAAAGAAAGAGGAGCCTGACACACGTAACACTACGACACTGTTCGACAATTATCTTTTTCTTTTTTATTTTTATTTTTTTTTTTTTTTTTTTTTTTTTTTTTTTTTTTTTTCAAGAGAAGAAAATGTGTTGAAATTGATATTTTCAATCTCCATTCGTTCACTTAATAAAACACAAACAAAAGTAAATGTCGAGGCAGTGGCGCGGCTATTTGGCAAGACTCTTTCACTTTGTCGTACAATAATGTAGAGCAGGCTCCATTTATGATCATCGTGACCAAGGAGAAAACCGAATTACCTTAGACGTAGTAAAAAATGAATCTTTCCTCTCTTTGTCACGCAGATATAAATATATCTTGGCATTTATACACAATTGTTGAAACATCTGACGTGAAAAAAAAAAAAAAAAAAAGAAAAGAAAAGAAAAGAGAAAGAAAGATATCATTCGTAATCAACGTCATAAAGAAGAAAAGTTTCGTGGCTTGTCGATTGAGATCAATATCGTTCCCTTAAAACGAATATACAAATGGAAAATGATCCATGAGAAAATCAAGCACACGATTGCAAAGAATATATTTGAGAAGAAAATTCCTTAAGTCTCACGCGGTTCGTAGAAAAATATAAAATAAAAAGGATCACGCATACGATGTAATATAATTATGTACAAAACTAGCACCTATACATCGAAAAGGTGCATGAACACACACGTTTCATCCTTGATCACAATGTTCTCGCACCGTCACATTGATTCATAATACAATATAATCTACATTTTAATAATCACCTCTTTAATAATTCTTTAAATCCTTGTTCTCTTCTTCTTTTTTTTTTCTCTTCCTCTTTTTTCCTTTTCTTTCCGTTTTTTTTTTTTTTTTTTTTTTTTTTTTTTTTTTTTT